CCAGAGATGAATCGTATTTCTGATTTCCGACTTCCGAGCCGACAGTTCCGATTTCTGGCACCTTCGTCATTTCAGATTCACTTCTGGTCCTATCAGAGCAGTTACAATATATGCAAATGTTATATGTACATTGGCGGGATTCCAAAAATTTTTACGGACATTTAAGTAAACTATTTAGTAAGTGAAATGTAGAATTTTTAAATAATTTATCAAAATATTTACTCAATAATCTCTTTAAATTCGTCAGTTTCCATTCTTCTTAAAAACATTATAAAATTAGTTTCTTTTAATATTTGTTCATGAACTTTAAATATTTCCTCGTTTATACTTGGATCAAAAGGACTACATCCTAGAAACTCTCCTTCTTCAAGTAACGAATTATTATTTGTATTAGTTAACCGATTTCTAATATATTTTCTGCAACCCAAAAGGCAACATAAGTTATATTTGCTGAGAAAACGATAAAGAATATCATTCAATATTGGCCTGGAAATATTAAATTAAACAAGTTTTTAGAGAAAAATATTTTTTGGGTACGCCCACGACTTTTGATAACAGACTTCATGAGAAAGCTAAAAATAGAAAAGAAAATTCTGGTCGCGAACTTCAGAAAAATCCGACCGGATCTGTAAGGTTTCGGAACAGATCCGGCAGGATTTTACCGAAGTTCGGGTCCCCACTTAGTGGATTTTCATAAGCTTTGGATTATTTTCGTACAGGATTAATCCAGAAGCAAGGTCATGTAGCAAGGTCATGGATACAACTCCAATAAATTTGTTTGCTGGCTTTGCAAGCTGATCATTAAAAATTTATTTTTGTTTTAGAACCTTTCCCTTATTAAATTATGGATTAGATACCAAGACTCTGGAAAAATCCGGCAAATCCCTAATACACTCAATCAATTAATTACCCTAACTATTTAAGGTTTAACATTACAAAATTATTTAATAATAAAAACACCAGTTTGTTAGCTTCAACGAATGTAATGTATATAATTCATCGAGTAAAATTGTGTGGCTAACAATTGATATTTTCAACTTTTTTTCTAGAGATGAATTTATCTTTCCAAGATATTCAGAAAAATGCCAATCCAAAACTTTATTTCCATATTTTTCAATATTTCTATGCAAAAATGCTTCGTTATACCAGCCATACAAAACTAAAAAAAGAAGTTTTTTTTGAAAATTTTTGAAATTTTTTCTGATCGTTTTAACTTACGAGATATAGAGTATGGATATGGGGGAGAAGAATAATTAGGAGTTAAATAAAGCAATAAAATAAATATTTGGAATAAAAACATTTTTTAAAATTGTTTTTTTTACAAATCTTGTTGATAATAAAATTAAAAAAAAATAATAAAATCTATACTATAAAATAGAATAAATAATAAAGGTACTTTTCCGTTATGACGTAACCCCCTAAATTAATGTTCAAAATGCATATATAGGGTAGAAAAAGGTGCTGAGTCGAACGGTACCACTCTTTTTCACGGAGATGCCTGTGGACCGAGATATAGGGCTCGAAATGGTCAAAAACCATATGGGGGAGTGCGCCTCGCCTACGCCACATAGGTTACGTTGACCATTTTGAGCTTGTTAATCTCGTCTCAAAATCAAGATTTCGAGCTGATTTTTTTGGCATTCGACTCAGCTCGAGGAGCCCTTTCGAATAAGCTATCATTCAAAAAATGGAATTTTTCACCCCAAAATTTAGCTTACTCCCCCCTATGGTTTTTGACCATTTCGAGCCCTATATCTCGGTCCACAGACATCTTCGTGAAAAAAGAGTGGTACCGTTCGACTCGGCACCTTTTTCTACCCTAAATATGACATTTTGAACATTAATTTAGGGGGTTACGTCATAACGGAAAAGTACCATAATAAAATTTATATAAAATATAAAATTTGCAAAAATAATTTTTTTATAGAAAATTAGCTTTTGATAAATTCGCGTCTGTTAATTAACATATTTTTCAATTAACATATTTCTCAACAGAAGCTCAATTCGAAAGTTTTTTTAATCTTCAACTGGCTAAATTTTAAAATTGTTATAAATCCTTCCGGTAATGAGTCTTGTTTTTAAATTAAATTAAACATTTTTAAATTTAAAAATTAAAAAAGAAAAAGGGCAATTAAATGAGAGCAAGTGGAGAGAGGAGAGAAATTTATTTAAGGAACAGGGAAATCAATTTTACATTGATTGACGTTGATTATGTAATTTTTATCGGCGAAAATATGGCAAGTCGATTAAAACTTGCTAGCTTTGTTGTTAAATTTTAATTTATTAAATTTAAATCTACTTGATGTTTAAATTTAATTATTACTGGAGGGATTTCATAAATAGAGTGGAGTCATTTTTAAAGACAGTAGTTTACCACCGGTCACCGTCTGGGCTGTAATCCCTTGTAAACATTTATTTGTCAATCAAAGTCGGGGGTAGAGGTCCGATAAATCAAAAGGGCATGTCGGCAACGTCGCGGCAAAAACCACAAAAAGAAGAGGGCATGTCGGGAGTCATGCGGCAAAAATCAAAAGGGATAGGGCATATAATCAGTGTTGGGGTGAGAAGTGCCAATATGCCCTATTCAAAAGGAATAGGGCATATCGGCAGTGTCGGGCCTCATATAATTTATCGGCAGTCTTTTATAATTAAGAAGAGTTTGTCCTTCTGTATGCTCCTTTTTGTATGTACTTTTATAGACTATATTTAAAAATGTTTTTGAATAATTTAAATTATTTATTATTAGGGCGTGTCAAAACATGCAAATGCATATTTTGCATGAGGATATGACATAAGCTGAAACGCTCAAAAATGGTGTTTTTACATCGGTACGAGCACTTTAGGACCCGGTTTTTAATGCATATATTTGCATATTTCGGCCATCTCGTGCATATTTGCATATCGATGCATATTTTGGGAAATTTTGCATATTTTTACCTAAATTTGTGCATATTTTGGCATTTTTTGAGAAATTTTAGTTAAAATATAGCAAAATTTTCAAAATTTTGGAATTTTTTGGCAAAAAAATTTTGATAAAAATTTGTTGAAAAATTTTTTCGAAAAATTTCTTCGTGATAATTTATAAAAAATTTTTTTGGCTTGAATTTTAAGTTCATAAACTCTTTTAGATATGCTCTTTTAGAAGTGCGAATTTAGTATTTTTTAAGTTTAAACATTTATTTTTAAAGAATATTTTCATTATTTTTGCTGTATATTTAATGCATATTTTGCATATTTTGGACTTTTTCAATGCATATATATGCGCATATTTTGGGATTTTCCGTGCATATTTTGACACGCCCTATTTATTATTTTTTTAAACATGTTTTAACACACATAGACCCAACACAAGCAGAACTACAACCATTTTGTTGGGATTTTTTGTTTCCAACATTTTGTGGAAAAATTGATTCTCCTTGACTATTACCACCATTACATATTTAAACACAATCGGGGCCATTTGAATAACTTGGGACTCCATCTGTCTGAAATTTTGTTGAATTTTAAAATGCTTACAAATAATAAAAAAATTTATAAGGAAATAATTTTTTACCAAATTTTTGCTAATATCTGATTAAAAATTAGTCCGATTTTTTTCGAATTTTGGAAATAAATAAATCTTGATAAGATAAAATGCAAAGTAATTTTTTAACAAGAATTATTTCATTTATTAATAATTTTTTCGAAAAATTTGAAGAAAATTTCATTCCACTTTATAATTTAAATTAAATATAAAAAACACGAAAATTAAAAATTTTGAAAGAAAATAGGACATGATTTTAATTTTAAAAATAAAAATAGAAATTATTAACTTTTAATTTTTATATTAGCACCGTTTTTTCCAACTTACTAATTGTTTTTTTAAATTTTAATATTAGTAATTAGCATTCAAAAAACTTCCGTTTTAAAGATTCTTATAAAATTAATTAATTAGTAAACACTTTTATTTTGTTGTTACGTATAATTAATTAATTTTTTTCGAATTTTTTGAAGACCCTCGAATATATAAACCTTCCAAAATTAATCAGAAGACATCCAATTTTGATAATAAAAATTAATTTCCTTCACTTTCCTTCCAAAATATGTTTCAAAAAAATATTTTTATTTTTCTTTTCTTAACAATTTTAATTTTAAATTTATCAACATTAATTAATGGTGATTGTGTCCAAATGTGCCAAGGAAGTTCTTGTTCTCAAATTTGTAAAAAGAAAAGAGATGTGAATAAATGGGTGGATATTTGGGGGAAATTTAATAATTCGAAAAGGAGGAAGAGAAGTTTAAAATTTTTCTCAGATTTGGCGGAAATACTTTTTTAATTAATTTGGGGAAGATAATTTAATATTTAAATTTAAATTTAAATTGATAATATTTCTTAAAATTATTGTTATTTATTTGATATGATTTAAATAAATAGACACTCACTTTTCAACACTCTTTCAAAGGGTCTCTCTTTTCAATAGAAAGAGTTGGCAAAAGTTTAGCCACCGGGCAGGATTCAAACATGCGACCACCTGCTAGTCGTGCAGGATATCGTGTGTGAGCTACAAGGGCATCGACTAATGCTATCTCTTTTTCCTTTTTAGATCGTTTAACCCCCGCCTAAGCGTTTTAAATGCTGTTAGGTGAATCATCCTTACACAATATACCCCTCAATTAATATGTTTCAACACCCTCTCAAGGGGCCTCTCTATTGGAGATGTCAAAATAGAGCTGCCGTTCAAATAAAGACACCGATCATTATGATTTTACCAAGAAAAAGTTTTGATTCCTTTTTATATACTTGTAAGGGATTTAAATTCAATTCCCTACTTTAATCCAAAATTTATTCAACATAAATTTATGCTCACACAATAAATTTCTAATTTTACAACAAAAATACTTTTATTTAAAATTAAAATGGATACATCAAAATATGTATATTGAACTATAGGACCCCCATTTCCTCTCGAGACATCGAATATGATATATAATTCCACAAAATTTCAAAAATTCCATCAATTTTAACCATACATGCTATTTGTTTGGATTGTATTTACATTTGTCAAAATATTTTTTGCCGCAATAATTTTTCCAAATAAATTTTTTCTTGTCTCTCCATTAGCCCAAAGTAAGAGCCAAGACGGCAAAACAATTGTACTTATATCAGATACAAGAAAGTTTTGATTGACAACAGCCTAAAATTATTTTTAAAGAACATATTTTCTTTAATTGAGCGGCATGCTGCTCTATTTTCAACACTCTCTCAGAGAGTTCTCTCTCGGAGATGTTAAAATAGAGGCACTGCGCATTGTGATTATACCAAGAAAAAGTTTTGATTTTCATCGTATGAAAGTAAAGTAGTTCCAGTTATTGCAATCATAACTGAGATGTAGATTAGCGTCTGAAATTAGATCATTAAGATTCGAATTTAACTAATAAACTAGAGTAGCATCTAACCCTTTCAGGGTCGAAGTCGGAACATGCCAAAGAGGGCATGTAGGTGTTTGGGGTCGGGATTCCTTTCAAAAAAACGTCAAAGTTTCGGAGCCAGGGTGCTACCCCATGGTGCTACCCTACATTAGCGATGCTCAGGAGAAGATAAAACCCGGGAGTCAGGTCGGGAAATGATCGAGATACCCGAGCATCACTACCCTACTATATTGATAATTAAACAGATAATGTCAAAATCCCTTATTTACCGTCGAAATAGAAATGAGTAGCTGACCAACAAACGTCCAAAAGGCGTAAAGTATCAGTCTCTTTTCTATAGCTTTTTGTAATCCGTTTGAAGCTATTTTAGTCGTTTGAGGTTGTACTTTAGTTTTGTAGACACAAAGTGTTGCTATATTGATAATTAAACAGATAAACATGAAAATGACACAGGAATAAGCTGCATCCTCTGCAGGGTTGATATCTACTATTTTTAGATCTATCGTTATTGTTTGATTGTCAGCCTGTAAATGGGCATAGAAATCATAAGAAAATATTTGTATGGTCCGGGTTAAGGGCAGAATAAAAATAAGCAGTATGGCAAACGGTAGGAGACGCTTCCAAGCCTAAAACTTGATAAAATCAGATTTACACATTTAAATATTTTTGACTTTCTCATAAGTAAATGGCCATAGAATGGAAGAAAGTCTATCAAGCAATTGTAAAGTTGTGGCTATATTTTCAGCATGTACACAATAATAACCAAAGAAGAAGGTTGTTGCCAATACCCATGAAGGTAGTTGAAGGTATACATTTGTGAATAACCCAACCTTTGCAAAACGTTGTCCGAAGGAGATAATAAAGTTGAGAATGTTCTAAAGAAAGAGTTAAGCAAAAATTTAGCCACCGAGCAGGATTCACCCAGCGACCTCCTCGTAGTCACCACATATACTAGGAGCTCTACCACTGAGCTACCGGGGAAACGACTACGACTAATGTTTCTCTTTTCACTTTTTAGATCGTTAAGCGTTTTCAATTCTGCTAGGTGTATTATCCTTACACTAACATAAGATTAATTTAATTTTATTTTAAATGGCGGTGGAATAATCTTTTAGTCAATCCCTGGAGGGAGTATTTAATTTATAATCAAATTACCAAAATAGCCCTTGCAATAAGTAGCTGAAAAAAGCTAGAATTATAATCCTTCCATTTTGTAATAATTATAACAACTTCAAACGAATATAAGATAACAGATGGAATTCCGATAACTAGAGATATAACAAACGGTAAATATACTGTGTTCGCCAAAAATACAATTGGTGCTGAGAGAAAGAAGCCCATTGAATAATAAATTTTAAAAATTTTCTTTCAATCTGAATTAAAATTCCTTAAAGATTTGATAATTTAAGTCAGTCCTTGTGTAATGAACAAATCTGGTTTTGTCCAATGGATGCCAGATTGCCTAGAACAGCTTATTACCTGATCAAATACAGAGCTCCGATCGAGAACGTTTAATGAAAGTGCAAAAGTGTTTAATTCAGAAGTACATTGAGGGAAAATTTTTTTCAAAAACTTTTTTTGGTGCTAAGCGCCAAAAAATTCACTTGCTTTTTGCCGAACTTTTAAGAATTTTGGTGGTCCTTAAGCCAGATTTCATCGAAATTTTGAGAATTTTAAGGTTAAATTTAATTTTTAAGCCAATAAGTCTATTTGAAAGTACGTACTTACAAATAAGTATGTACATTTTCAATTTTGGAAGTACGGAGGTCGATTTGCAATTACTGTATTTCCATTCTATGTACGGATAGGAGCCCTGATTAAATAACCACAAAAGCTAAAATGTGCCAACAAACTTAAGGCTATACGACTGCTCTTATCAAAAGATTGAAATTTAAATGTGCCACTTACCAAAGAAATAAACAACTTTTTATTTAAAATTTTTAAAGCTTAGACAGGTGGAATGGAAATAAAAAAATTGGTGAAAATTTAATTAAAATAACAAAATTATTAGTTTACAAAGCCTCAATAAACTAAAAAAACAGGTAAATATTTACTGGCATGATGTAAATAATTTATTTAATTATGTAGTGTTAGAGTGCTTATTAGGTAAAAAGAAAAATTTAATTCTCAAGAATTTTACTATAAACAAGTTTTTATCAAGTCTGGTATAGCACAATTGAGAATTTCAAAAAAAAAAGAAAATTAATAATGCCCCAAAGTAAAATGACATGGAGTGATGTACAATATGCCGACTAAATATCTTTCTTTCAAACTTAAGCTTTTGGCCGATTACCAGACATCCAATTCTGCTCCCACAAGAAATCTTTTACTTAAAAAATCAGAAGCAAATCTCCTAATCCGTATAACCGTATTAATTGCCCTCTTTCTAATAAATATTTTAATTAAATTAATTATCACCTCCAACGATAGATTGAAATAATAATTACCCCCCCCCCCCCATCAAACAACCTAAAAACGTTTAAAAACCTTATATAATTACCAGCCATCAATCAATTACTCCCTCCAGAGGAAGGTCGAAAAAATAATCACCTAGGGTAAGTATTCAAAGTTTTATGGTATGTATATTTTTTATATTACAAAATTTTAAATTTTACTAAATTTTATTAAAAACAATTGTGTAGATAATTATCAAAACAAAATATAAATTTAAAAGTCTACAATTCATCTACATATAATTAATTTAAAATATTTTAAAAAATCCAAATTTTCAATAAAACACAATTTCCATCAAAGGTTCATATTTACTAATTAATTGTCTGGTTATACCCGTACCCGTGCAACAAACAGTCAAAACTAATTTAGATTCTCTATTTAAATTTTTTGCTTTAACAAGAGCTCCTTTAAGCATTTCTAGTACGGAATCATCCAAATTCATATTTTGACTTAAATCCAATTGTTGTAATTTGTCTAGTTTAATTGAACAAATTAATTGTTTGATGGAATTACTTGAAAAGTAAATTTAAGAAAAAATTTCAAGATTTGACCCTCCTTTTTACGTACACCCAAAAGGTGTCCCGACTATTTAAGAATATAATAGGGTTGTCTGATCCGAATAACGGATCCGAACGAGACGGATATCCGGAAATTTTTGGTTCGGATACCGGATCCGGATATCCGAAGGTTTCCAACTATCCGACAACCTTAGTCTATAAGTCAAAATTTTCGGTTTCAGTCACCCAAATAATAAAAATCTAAATTTATTTTTGGAGAGATATTGTTAAAAAATTACAGAAAATTTCCGACTATTTAAGAATATTTCCTTTGGCGGGATTCCCGATAAAATTTTCAATTCTCGATTTCGGAAATCAGGATAGTCTGAAATTTCTAATTTTCAGGAATGGAGATCACGATTGGTAGATCAGTAAGATCTCAAAATTATGTTATTTAAAATTTAGTTCATGCTGACTAGAAGGATTGGGGTAGTCGTGGTTGGATGGACCCTAATCTAAGATACCCCTCATATAATAATTTTTCAGCACCAATGTAGTATCCAAAAATTAGGGTCGACTATAAAATTAAAAATAAACTTCGTTATTGTCTCACACCCAGAAAGTGAAAGTCGCTCAAAACGGTCAGAATTTGAAAAGGCTTTGGCATTAGAAAATAGTTCACAACTTATCCCAGAGCATTTTATTAGTTCAAGCTTTAAAAAATTTAAAAATATTTTTTATTTAAAAACAAGGTAATTCTGTTGATGAGACCCTCAACAAGTTTTTATTAAATTTTTTACTTGACTATTTTTCAGGTCAATATGTGATCAAAAAATAGGCAAAAATTCAAAAATATTCACATGGGAATTAAAAAGGATTTGGGAATTATTAAATAAATACCTAAATATACTTTGATGAAAAATGACAGAATTAAACCTCCCCTTTGCCCTTACTTAAAAAAATACCCAACCTTCTATTAGGGATTAAATTTTAATTATTTTCTATGTCTGAAATGGTTGCCAATCATCTCATTTTTATTCGAAAAAGTAAGTACCAATTAAATTATTTAATTTCTAAAATTTCAACTTAATTATGAAAGTTTATTTGCTTCTTTGCATGTTCTTTATATGCATTATAATTTATTTAATAATGGATGATTTACTCTATAATGAGCAACAACTTGATTTGATTAATGAAAACTTTTGGTTTAAATGATTATCTATATTTTTTCTATATTGACGTCTTATTTAATTTTGTAATTTAAAAATTTTTTTCTTAAAAATAAAAATGCTTTGTTTTATACTTCCTTTTATTAATAATTTTGGAAAATTCAGGCTAAAAAGCCACATAAAAAGCGAATTTTTAGTAAAACTTTGGACCATTTTAGATTAATTTAGTAATCTCTGAACTTGCTAAATAAAACACCAAATTAGCTACATAAAGGGGAGAAAGCAAGGAAAAATATGGCTAACTTTTAATTATTATAGCTATTATCAAAATTAAAAAATTAACACTTAAAGAAGGAAGGGTCTCATCTTCAGTATTACCAAACAATTACTTTCTGTACCTCTTTAAGTGCTGGACATTTAGAAACTATTGACAAAATACCATCATCATGAACCTTTGGACACTCATTTATTCTGACAATTCTTAACCTTCCATGTTGTGCCAATCCTTTAAGATGCTTTACTCAATGCTTTACTTTTCTCAATATCCAATTGTGTCAAACAAGTGCAAAGAGATAAAGCACTGAATTCTTCCAATCGCTGACAGTTTAATAGGGAAAGTTGTCTTAATTGGTCTTTCAATATTCCTCCAAGCATTGATTTTAAGGAATTTCCATCTAAGGACATGCATTCCTAAAATTTAATTTAAAAAATGTAATTTTAAAAGAGTCTGTCGAGATTTGCGACATTTGAGGAAGAAACTTAAGCCTAATACAGCTAGCTCAATTAAGATATGGATTGATAATTATTATGATAATTATTATTGATAATTATTATTGATAATTATTATGTTGTTTTTAGGAGATTAAATCATTGTATATCCTTTATATCTGACTTTATGCTTAATTTATTTAATGTAAATTATCTGTATAGATGATTCACCTAGAGCATTTAAAACGCTTAGGGGGGATTAAACGATCTAAAAGGAAAGCATTAGTCGGTCCCCCGCAGCGCAGTGGTAGAGCTCCTATATATGGTAGAGCTCTTAAACTCTTTCTTATCCTTTCGTCGAGTACTTAAATGATACTTCATTAATATTAAGAGTTTCAGCCTCAGGGATAGTGAATCCTCCTATAGATATGGACTCAATTTTGATAAAAAATTATTCGGGTTTTCGCAAATCTCAGTTCAGCTTGTTATGTCTAAGACCTTCAAATGTAAATGTTTTAGTTCTGCAGCATTGCCAATGGGAGATATATCAAGGAAATGGGAAGTATAAGGAATATATCCAAGCCAAAGTGTCCTCAATTTGGGCATTTTTCCAATTTGGCCAATTAATGTTTGAAGATCAGCAGTTTTTCCTTTTTTGGGTCTCCTCAAAGGAATATTCCCATTCTCTTCTTTATAACGTTGTCTTTCCCTTATTTCCTGTTTAGTAAAGCCTAGGAAAGCTGTTGGAACATTGATAGCTGATGTAGTAGATGCAGCAACCAATTGAAGACATTGCCGAGGAATTGGACAGAGGTGGAGGCAAATTAGTTGATTATTTTGATTGAGGAAATTAACGAGAGTATCAGCATCGAGTTGACGGGCTTCACTAACATCGAGATATCTATAAATATTTATATAATTTTTCGAGATAGTCTAAACTCATTTCTAAATATCAACCAAGGGTTAAAAATTGTGGTTAATGAGAGAAAAGTATGCCAGGTGACTGTAGGAAATAACTAAGGAATCGAAAATCTGAACTATCGGAATAGGTAGATCGCAACTCGGAAATCATCGTAAGCTCCCGTAAATCGGAAGGGAAAATGTCAAAACTCGGAATCCAGACCGGACCCTGAGGGTTATGCCTAGTGGCCAACAAAATTTTATACTGATTCAACCTAATTTAAGGGATATCTGAAAATTATATTCGACTGTACATTAAATTAATCCTTACTCCAATTGACTTCCTTCAATTTTGACCAAATCATCCAATGGCCCACCAAATTTGCGCAAATTAAGTCTGCGCAAACGATGCATTTTAGGGAGGAACTGAGAAGCCTTAGCTTCATTCTGACGAGAATTTTCCCCTATCCAAGTACTCTCTTCAAGTGAAAATTCTTCAAGTTGAGGAGCTACATGCTCCAGAAGTGGTGATATGTCTGCATTTATTCTAACCCAACCCATTTCTAATTTTGTTAATTGAAAACATTTTCTGAAATAAATTTTTGAATTGAAAATATTTTTAAATTAAAGTCTAAACTCCTTTATATTTTCCAAAATTGGTTGAGAGATGACTGGCCATGAATGGTTAAAGTCAATTTCACGAATATGAGGTCCTGCTCTGTCCAATATGCCCCCAAGTTTTTGTTCAATTAATCCGGCACTCTTCTGTGAAAAAATAAATTTAAAATAAAAAAAAACTAACTAGTTAGTTTATGTACAATTCAAGTCCTTTTGACAGCTTAAAATTTTCGGTTTGATAGACTTATCAGGGATCTAACAAGTACAAAATCGGGATGATATCTTCCGCATTTTAAAAGGAAAATCAGTCCAACAAAACTTTCAAGCAGTCTTACAACTACTAGTTAAGCATGATTTTGAAATTTTTTTGGCCACGGGGTAAAGGATACTCTATTTTAGAGTAACCACATCATAAACAAAGGTGGGTCGGAATTCCGCTTCCCTATTTCCGTCGTTTTTCCTTTCAGTTTCCGATTTCCGAAAAAGAATTTTGATTTCCGATTTCCAAGTTCCGACTTTTGAGCCTCTTCCGATTTTCGACTCTTCCGATTTCCGACACCTCTGGCTGTTTCGACCCACCTCTGATCATAAGGTATAATTTTTATATAATTTTTCAGCTCCAAGGGTGTATATTAAAATGTGGGTTGACCTCATAAAATTTTCATTGAAATCTTAAAGTTCCATTGGACCCATAAACCGCAATAAATCCAAAAATTTATTTAAAAATCATACATTTTCATCAGACAAGTCTTTTCCACAATTTTCCCTCACAAATTCATTTAAATTTATTTTTTTCATTTCCGAATGTGTTGCATAACTCTTCAATGAATAAAGATCAAAAAAACTAAAAATAATTAAAATCCCTAATTTTTATCTAAAAATTACTTGCCCGAATTATTTTTAGCCATCGACGGCAAACCAATTCAAGTTTAATTTTCTCTTGAAAATCAAAATAAAAAAATATTTTAACCAAACAGTCATTATTTATTAATTCCATTTATTAAATAATTTAATATTTTCATTTAAATATTTTTACTTTAAATTTTTTTGAAAAATTTAAATTTTTTAAATTAATATTTAATTGGCTAAATTTATTTTTAAAAAATTAAAAAAAATATTTTAAATATTTTAATTTTAATAAAACTCGAAATACTTAGACACACTTGTTTGTTAAGGTGAGAGTGCCGTACAATCAATGGTTGGAATTTTGAAATTTGCTCGTACTCGTAATTCCATACCTGCCTATTTTTGGCCTCGTACTCGTACATTACTAATTTTTTTGCGTATAACCGTACTTCGTACACAGGTACGAGTACGAATTTTGGTATGAGCTTCCAACCACTGCGTATAATTGAGAAAAAACTTATAAATAAAAGGGAATCATTAATTAGTTAATCAATTAATTACGAAAATTGATATAAATTGAGGGGTGATAATGATAGTCTCCGGTTTTTCGTACTCATCTGATGCGAGGAACTAAATAAATATGGTATATGATAGCTTAGATAAACTAGGGTTCTCGGTTCTTATAAAAGTTTCAGCCATCGAACCAAAAATTCTAGGTTCTTCGTTTCGGTTCACAACTTTAGATAAGTATAACATCTTACTTAACAAAATCAAGGAATTATAACAAAACTTATTTATAATTAGACACTATCAGCTAAATAAAAGTTAATTTAATAATCAGATAATGTGCTTATAAAAAATTATATCTCTAGCAAAGATATATTTTAAAATCTAAAAATTTTAAATTTAAATAACCAAGCTAAAACACAAAAAAAAATTCTAAAGAAAATTTAAAAATAAATAAAATAAAGGAAAAATGAGCCGACTTTCAAACTTTCAATAAAAACTGAAGAAAACATACTTGAAAAACTTTTTAGTGTTTTTGCAATATTGCACTCATAAAAACTTTGTGAAAAAAATTTTTAGGGAAACAACTGCTTCTTCCAATAATTTTACTCTTTTCTTCTTTAAGTTGATCCCAATTGACATTTATTTGTTTTGTGAAAGAAAAGACTAAAAATAAAAAATGGGGAGTTAGCGAAAAGGAAGTCTTAGGATAAAATAAGGAAAAAATACAAGCTTAGGGGTTGCCAGATCACTAAACTCAAGTTACGAGAGATCAAGTGATCTTACAATTAGCATATCATAGCAAATTAATATATGTAGAAAGCGAAGCGAAAATCAAGACAAAAATTGTCTTCATGAAATCAACAAGAAAAGAACGTCTAGAAACGTCAGTTCAATAATGGTTCGGTGATCGAGTTTGATTACCTCTGAAGAGGATTCCAAATCCATCAACCTTAGACAGCACGAAAAGAATTAGAAGTAATTGGATCTCGATTTTACACAGATTACATCAATCACGATTTGCTCCTGGTTACAATTTCTGGGTATAAGTTTAGCTTCTGGTTAGGAGGATTTGCCTCCTAAATAGTGAACAGAATTAGAATGTTAATAAAAGATCAAATTCACATCGAATTTTTCAGTCCCAAGGATGTATGCAAAATCGAGATTTAACTGTATATTATCACTCGAATTTTTAATCAAGCTAAACTCGGTTTATTGTAACAAAAATAACATTTTTATTGAAATACCATTTAAAAATAGAAAATATACTTTTTTTACTTGTTTATTTAAAATAATTTTCCATTTTTAAAAATAAATATTTGCTTTTCAAAATTTTTTTGGAAATAAAGTACATCAAGTCTGGCTAATTTTAAGCAAAAACAAATAAAAAAATAAAAATAAATTTTTTTAATAATTTGGAAATAAAAATTGGATAATTATAAAAAATCAACAAAGAATTAAGGAAATTTAAGCCCAAAAAATTTTCTTTGGAAAACTTATCTAGGCAACCACCCGGCTTTTTTCTGAACACAACATATTCCTGATCACGTAAAAAAAAATAACAAGTAAAAAATCATGGTTTTTATGAAAATATGAAGTATGAATTATCTATCAGGGAGGGACGGGTTACACGAAACCCGAGACCCGACCCGAAGAAAATTCTAAAAACTCGACCCGAAACCCGACCCGGCTTTTTTCTCAACCCGACCCGCCCCTTCTACATTACCTCCACGTAAAATGCACTTTCTAAAATTAAAAAAAATTTAGAAAAATTAAAAGAAATTAAGCAGATGTGTAAATTTATTTTTGAAAATATTTTTAAATTAATTCCGGAAATATTACCCTTTAAAAAATAAAAAAGGAAACCACACATAACAATTTTGGAATATTTAAAGGAGTAAAATTTAATTAAAATTATTAAATATCCACAATTTAATTATTTAATTAAAAATAAATTAAAACTAAAAATGTCTTTGGTAGTAATTATTTCTTTTCTATTCTTTATTGCGATTAACGGTGAGTATAAAGATAAACTCCTCCTTTTCGTTATATATGTAATCTGTCCTGATATTCTGAAAATTTTTGTCCCGGAAGTTGGTCCGAAAAGTTAAAGATTTCTCCTCACAGTCTAGCAAATAAAACAAATATGAGAAAAAGTCTATAGTGGGATGCATAAGTCTTTAATCTCCTCGGAGAACCTTCAAGATCAAGTCCATCTCCTCGGAGAACCTTCAAGATCAAGTCCATCTCCTCGGAGAACCTTCAAGATCAAGTCCATCTCCTCGGAGAACCTTCAAGATCAAGTCCATCTCCTCGGAGAACCTTCAAGATCAAGTCCATCTCCTCGGAGAACCTTCAAGATCAAGTCCATCTCCTCGGAGAACCTTCCAGATCAAGTCCATCTCCTCGGAGAACGTTCATGTCCTTCAAATCTCTTGCTATTTTTTTGATATGGGTTTGACCGCCTTACTCTAGGAGTAACTCGATACACGAAATTACATTTCTTAATTTAAATCAAATTCTATTTCTGGAATAGGTTGTGCCCATTTATTGAAGAATCTATTAAATCCCCAGGCTTTTAACATTAAAATCCGTCAAATCGTCAAATCCCCATATTCAAAAAATTTTAAAAATTTTTAGGGGTTTCTTCGTTTACTACAGCCGAGCGTAATAGCATTGAAAAACTAATCAACAATCAACGGTCTGCACTTGCAAATGGAAAAATGTCAAATTTACCGCCGGCTTCAGATATGAATAAATTAAAATATTCAACATTATATGAAGGAATGGCACAATCGCTAGCTAGAGATTGTTCTATGAATAATATGGGTGGAGGAGTTAGTCATTATTCAACAGACAAAATAATACAAACTAATGGTTATTTAATTATTTTTTGAAAGTTTTGAAGGCGTAAAGATAGGATCGAGATGAGATCTCTTATAAAAGTCTGTCATGAAAATTGAGATTTTTCGAGATATCAAGCCATCTAACTAGGAAAATTATGAGCCATCTGACTAGAAAAGGATATTAGACCAATTACAGTTTCAAATCAACCACCCATCGTCCTCTTTCTGGGGATGTCGAAGACATCTACCTAATTAGAAACGGATATTAGTCCAATTACAAGTTCAATTCAATCACCAATCGTCCTATTTCTAGGGGTGGCATTGACTGTAAAGTCGAAGAAGCCCTCCCCCACTTCTCTTCATACCTTAGATGAATTCGGTCTGGGATCCCCACAGAATGAATGATAATTGAATAAAAGTCTCATTGAGTAAAATTTTAAATATCCTAGATGCTCTATTCCAAGAAGCAGTAGATGCTTGGGCATCAGAAAGTAAGGATGTAGACAGTACTACTCTTAAACCTAATGAAAACGCCAAAAATTTTGCCCAAGCATTTTATTCAAAAAATACACAATTTGGATGTGGAAAGGCTCCATGTTCTGGGAAAACATTTTTAGTTTGCATGTTTACCCCCTAGTAAGTTTTTACTGAATCAAATAAAAAATTTCAAAAAATTTTTCTTAGTGGCCCAGCACAAACAATGAATGGCCCATTATATAAACAAGGCGAAATTTGTGGAAATTGTTCCAATAATAAATGTGATAAAGGAAGTGGTTTATGCATTCCTAAAGTCAATAAGCTTATTATAGATTAAAAGAATTTGTAGTTGAAGATTTGAAATTAAATTGAGAAAATAAATAAAATTGTATTGTAATCAAATAAAATATTAGATAAAATTATTTTTATATTTTGTAAAATTTTGACAATATTAAAATCTGGTGGGTCAGCTACTTTTATCCTTAAATTCAAAATATTTTATTAAAAAACCCCTTATTGAAGAACAATCAAGAATCGAATTCGTCAAGACATACACTTGATATTAGTTCAACTTCTTATACTTTTAATTTTTAAATTTAACCTTCAAACTAGAGATGAAAAATAAATAGCTAGAAACTAATCATCTTTGGTTAAACAATTTAATTTGCAGTCCATTATTTTAACGGTTTCGTGGTTTCGATTCTGGGGTTCCAAAATCTTAAGTGTTACCTGGGTTTGTTAAACGGTCCCGGAACCGAGAAAGGATTTATACAATCTACATTTTAACCCAAATCATTTATAAGATAATAGGGCTTGGACTGAGACGGGATCATCTTGAAATAATTTTGTGAAATATTCAAGATGTCTATAGTCTAAATCTTTTCTCACCTTCATTATCTGAATATTTATAAATTATATTTTTAATTTTATTAATGAAAAATATTTTTTAAGGTTAAGCAACTGCTTTAATTATTCATACAAATAAGAAACAAGTGACATTTCCTAAGGTTGAAATTTAAAAAGTTCTTACTAAGCAAAATATCAAATATTTTTGGTTATTAAATGTTTTTTAAAAAGTTTTTAAAAATTAATTTGACATTATAACTAAATGAGTAAATATCAAGCAATAATTTTTAATATAAAACCACCCAAAAATTAGCTTATCAACATCAATTCAAACAATTTAAAATTTTAAAAATAATTAAAATACTAACTGATCAAAATGCAAAAGGTTTGTATAGATATTTTTAAAAATTGAGGAAAACCCAAAAATTAGAAACCTCCATATGTTAAGTAATTTATTCAAATGGTACGAGGACATAATCGGGATATTTCAATGTACGAACAGTTACCTACTGATTTCGGGACCTACGGCCACTGGATAATGGATAGTATATTGTCTATTGAGGAATAGTGTTTTTATGTTTTGGAACAAACGTAAACACGCAAGAAATTATTTTGACACCCCACTCCCGATATATCCGTCCCGATAGATCCGCACACCATTCAAATTGCTTATTGTAGTGGAAGGGATATTCTTAAATATTCAGAACTTCTTGAAAATTACGGTCATAACTACAGACTAGTGATACACGAAAGAAGAAAAAACCCGGGAAACAGGAGTCGGGTTGGGAATTGAAACGGGAGTTGGGGTCGGGAGGCCATAAAGCGGGAAAATTTCCCGACTTGGGTGTCGGGATCTTGATACCCAAGCATCTTACAGACCGGATTTTTATGCTCATTATATTTTCTGAACCGAGGTTAGAACCAAATATTATTTCCAGCTTCTTCCCGTTCTCCTCGTCTTCCTTTTGGCCGCAGAAATTTTTGTAGTCTCTGCTCGCTTCTCAAAAACCAAGAAACCAAAGGATGAAACAACAACTCTTGCTACTGAACCAGAAGATGTAGAAAACGACCCAGCACCAAAAAAGTGTGGCAAGTGTAAAAACAAATGTAAATGTGGATATGACGTGGGGGAGATTTTTAATTATTTCCTTTAAAAATTTTTTTAATTATTAGGATTGTAATAAATGCTATTGCAAGGAAAAATGCTGGGCTTAAAAGAATGTAGAAATCAAAGAAAGGAAAATAAAAAGAGAGATAAACGAAATTTAATGGATAATAAAATTTGTTAAAAATAAATATTAAATAAAATAAATATTCTTAAAAATTGATGTAATTTTTCTCAGCTCGACGAGCTCTTTAGGATAAACATTTAAATAATTTATCCACAAAAACAAAAGAATTTTTAAAAATTATTGACAGCCCCAAAGTAAATAAGTTCAATTATATATATTTTTTAAAATATGTTTGGCCATGGATAAGTTCTAATAATTAAATTCTACTAACTAAAAAATTATTTAAGGTACTTCCCATCATGAAATCAATTTTATAAGTTTAAATGTGTAATTTAACGCGAGTTCTTTTAAAATAGTAAAAAGTCAAAACTCATTAAAAAAATTTCTGTAATTAACATTTTAAAATGAGTTATTCAAAATTTGGTTGTCCAAATAAGTGGAGGGTGCAATATACATATATTAAATAGCCCAATATGGATAATAATTCGTCAGCCCCAATGGATAGCTTATACTAGACTAAACGTATTTACTCGATTAATTCCCCTCTCTCGAATAATTCCCCCTGCTACGGATTAGTTGAAACAATAATCCCCCTCCCCCAAATACCCTACTACACGTTCAAATTACAAAACTCGAATAATTCCCCTCCCGTGATAATTCCCCATGCCACGGATGGGTTGAAAAAATAATTCCCCAGTGGAATTAATCGAGTAAATACGGTATACCTTGATATCCGCCTTAGAAGTAGGGTTGAGCGGGATCGGGATCCCGGTCGGGATCGGGCGGGATTATCCCGGGTTTTTCAAATCCTGATCCCGATTTTTCTGATCCCGCTCCCGAAATATATATCCCGATCCCGATCCCGGCCAATCTCAATCCCGAGCCGGGATCCGGGATCGGGATATATATTTCGGGAGCGGTTGTGCATCAGATCCCGATGAAAATCCCGACTTTATAAATTGACTAGAAGTCTGCAAAATAAAGTTAACATAAGAGGGGAGGCATAAAAGTTAAAAGTTAACGAAAGAGGCATAAAAGTTAACGAAATATTGAGTGATTTGGTGTGATATCGAGGGATCAAGAAGGGTTGAGGGGAGTATCGGTGGATTTGGAGTATAGAGGGATATCGGTGAATTTAAAAGGATTAAGTTAAATTTGAAGAGAAATCGAGGGCTTAAGAAATATTACTACATGAATATATCACTTAATCCCTCAATCTCAGTTCTTAATCGTCAGCATTAATCGTATAGACTTGAACGCACTTAATCGTATAGACTTGAACGTTTAACTTGAATGCCCTTGGCGTTCCAAAATTAAAAATATTGCCTGCGGCGCTTAAAAGGGAGAAAATCTGGCCCCTAATCCTTCCAAATTTTTCAAATTTTTTGCCTGCGGCGCTTAAAATGGGAGAAGCCTAATCCCTTTTATCCCCCTCCCCCTACATACCTTATCCTCCTTTAATTCCCTGAACCGGAAAGTAAATCATGCGTCTATGAGACATAAACTCATTATTTCAGCACCGCAGTAGAAATTTTAGAATTATATTGAGTCGTATGTGAAGAAAATAAAAATTTAAAAGTTTTTAAAAAATTTTTAGTAAATCCCGATCCCGATTTTTCAATACCGGTCCCGATTCGGGATCGAGATCGGGATCTCTATTCCAAATCCCGATCCCGATTTCGGCCAATCCTGATCCCGTGTCGGGATCCGGGATCGGGATCACCATTCCAAAATCCCGATCCCGGGTTTTTCTCTAAATCCCGATACCGCTTAACTCTACTTAGAAGAAAGGATACATTTTAAATATGAAGTTATTTTATGGTTATTTTATTGTCTATATTTAATTGATAGGGAAAAAGTACTTTATTTTATTCTTGTATTCTCGCATTATGAAATTTTAAGATTAAGAAAGGTCTTATTTATGTAAGTGCAATTGTCGATTTTTTGAAAAAAAATTAAAGGAAATTTAAATTTTGCCGCCTTATTTTTATATTTGCACTTTTAGTCATCTGCTTTCTCAGTTAGCTTATTTAATGTTGACCGTCTTTAATTTTTAATATTAAAAATCCATGAAGAGTAATATAAATCTCTCCGTTTTATAAGTATATACATAAAATAAAGCAGAGCTGGGCTATAGCTATTTATCTTCTTCAGCTAGTGCAAAAGTTTATTCGGCGGCTGGGAACGATCCAGCATCTTTAGGCTGCGGGTTCTATTACCCGAGTAATAGAACACGGCTGCGGGTTACCCTAACCCTCATTTATAATATGAATAAGGGTTCTGGATTAACCTACCCGCAGCTGAGGATTGGTTAACCCCTACCTCGTTCTCTGAATACGGCCCAAGGACTGATATTTTATCCAAACCTGCTCTGGATACGGATACAGATAATATCAAAATGCCTGCGGATATCCGCCTGTATCCGCTGTAAATATCCGGATACGGATACCAAAATCCATGTCCATGACCAGGACTGATGTTTTATCCATTACACCACGCCGCCTACTGTACAGCCTTAGGTCTTTAAAATAATATAATAATAAGTGCCCAGATCTTTAGGTCCCGAATATATTTTATTAATTTGTATATTCATTCCAGCTTTTTTGTCTATAATGTTAATTATTATTATTTATTATTAAAATTTCAGATGATTAAATTTATCAATATTTCTCTAGTAGCCTTGGCTTTTCTATTAAATATTCATTGTAACGGAGAAAAGGTTGAAGTAAAAATAAAAGATGATTGGAAAGAAAAAAGAGAATTTATTTATTTAAAAAATGTTAGATTAAATGATCGTTTTGTTCTAAAAAGAATTGAAAATTTTCACAAAAGATATGGCAGATCTTGTTATAATATAGATAAATTTATACGTCCTATCGAATTAAATTTACAAAAAAATACTTTTAACGTTAAAACAAGTGATGGATTAGAATATACTATGCTAGAATTAAAAATGAGAGTTTTGATTGAAATTGCCAATAAGGAAAGTATTCAAAAAATTTTGCCTGGATTCGAAAAACGGGTATTTTATATTTTAATTATTCGGATATCGGGCAAGAACTTGATTAATTTTTTCTCATTTTTTAATTTCCTCAGAAAAAATTAAAAAGAAGGGCTTTTTCAATATTTTAGAAGTATGTCAGTAGGTAATATCCCACTTAGGTAATATCCCACCGATATCCCACTTAATCCCGTCAAATCCTTTGATACTCTGATATCGCTTCAAATTCTCCACTATTCAGGATGTAAATATTGAAGTATGACCTCAAATTTTTGATAAATTCCAATTTAAAATAAGGAAATTTCAGAAAAAAGCTAAATTTTAAGAATTTTTCAAATTTTGAAAAAACCGGGTTCGGGCCCGAGTGTAAAAAAAACCGGATTTTCGAAAGTTTAAACCCGGAAAACCCGGCCAGGGTCGGATTGGAAGAAAAAGGACTGGATGCCGGGCCCGGCAAATTGAAAAGTTCGAACTCTAGTACTTATCAACTTGAAATATTACCCCTATTTACTTTGAAATTCAATATTGTTCATAAATTTAAGGTACTCCGATATAATAATTATTTTATTGATGAGGGTAATCATTATGAAACTTCCATATTAGATGAAAGTTTTGAAAAATTAAAAATAAATAAAATTGAATTATTAAAAGAAAATATTGAAAGTTACAAAAATAAACTTTTATCAAATTATTGGACGGAAATTAATTTAATTGGATATAAAATTGAATTGCTAGAAAAACAAAAAGTTGAATACCCGAGGGAATTAAAAAGCGGAATTAAATATATTGGCAATAAAATAAGTAAATCTTGGACATTTTCCTTCATATTAAAGGAACATACATACTTATAATATTTTAAATAGGGTTGCCAAAATGGACCGGCTCGAACCGAAAGATCGAGTCGGGCCTAAATGTCTGGCCTGAAAAAGACTCCTATAGACCAGACTCGATAAAGTGCCCGAAATTGACTCGTACAGGCCCGAATACAGGCCAGAAACAAGCACAAAAATTGCCTCGACCCTAATTTTAAATATTATAGGTGAAATTAATGAAAGAAATGGACCATATTGTTTTAATTGTGGAATTAAACTAAAAAGATGGTATAAATACCTCAATGGAAATGCTGCATCCCTCCTAATCAAATAAACAAACTAAAAATAAATGATGTATTCACGTGCATTCACAGGCACAAATATTTTGACCTTTTCCTATATTAAAAGGAATCCCGACCGTTATCAGAGTTTATCACAATTCCCGACCCTTATATTATTATTTGTTATTCACTTGTTTACCCCAATCTTGACCTGTTAATGTCCCCTATAAATACTCATCCAAAATGGTCATTCATCTTATCTTAATATCTAATTAGAAGTGTTTATGTGAGTTCTGGCCAGACTCTTGTAATTGTCCCCTTTCCCTCTTTTCGCTATGTATATATTTTTATTTGTAAATAGTTAAATGTAAATAAATAATTTAAAGAATATAATTTGAATAATCCTCGAAAGGCTTCGGAACCCAATCCCAACATTTGGTGCCACTTGTCCCGGGCAAGCCTTGTCGAGAGAAAATGCGCAAGAAATGAAAGCACATAAAAAAAAACGGAATTCCAGTAAAGTCGAAATTAGAAATAATTAAATGTGCTAAAATAAAATAAAGTGATTAAGAAATCCTCAAAAATTGAGAGCTCGAGCTTAAACTCCTTAAATGGTCTAATTGTAAGAATTTTGCAAAAAAAAAATGGAATTTTTTTAAGAAATGAGAAAAATTTTCTCAAATTAAGAGTCTCTTCTGCAGCCTAAAAAATTAAAAGAATATTGAAATAAAAATTAGGAAAATGGAAGATAAAGTTGAATAAGTCAAAAACGAACGATAAAAGCCTAAAGAAAATAAAATTTAAAAATAAAGTTGAGCTAGAAGAATGACATGAAATCGCTTGATAAAAATTAAAAGAGATTGGTTAAAAATTATTAGTAAACCGTTTGTTTTAAATCAAAAATAAGAGAAACAATGTAGCGCCGCAGTATTTAAAAATACTCTTTGCTACCTCTGCATATCTCTTATCTAACGTAAATAAAAAGATATAATAATGAAGGCAGGTGAAGCTGGGTGCACACTCTGTCGGCTTAGTGCCAAGTACTTAATATAATGAAGAAAATCTGTACAGTAATGAAATGAATCAAGGCGGGTGCAGCTAGGTGCACACTCCGTCGGCTAGGTGCCCTGAAAAGGATATTAAGCGGGTAAAGCTGGGTGCATACGCCGCAGGCTTAAAGAGCCAAATACTCCTTGAGATAGTAGAAATATGTATCTCGAAATAAATTTTGTGAATATTGTATTGGTAATAGATTTAAAACAACTAAAACTAAAAAAAAAATATACTATTTGTGAAAATTTGTGTGAAAAAAAAATTTTTTTTCAAGCGCAGAAATTTTATTAAAAGAAATGATCAGAATGAATATAAATTTTCTTAGGCTCAATACAACGAAAACAATTGCGCAAAAATGAGAAAAAAAAAGGCATGCAAAATAATTTAAAAAAAAAGTATAGTATGAAATTGAGTAAAACAAGAAAGTATTTTTTCAAATAAACGTGTTAAAATGTTTTGTCAGTTAAACTCATCCTGCAACTAAAAACAGAGGCTATTATATAAAACAAAAGCAAAAAAAAAAATCCCTATTTAGAATTGAAAAAAAAATATAGGCCGCTCACTTAATGAAAAGACAGAATCAGAAAAAAAATAAAATAACCTTACAAAAGATAAAACAGAGAGATAAAAGAGATCAAACAGAGAATATGTATTTTTGAAAAATGAAAACCTGCTTAAAATAATAAAAAGCAAAAGAATAAAACCGTCAAAACCTACGTTTAGAAAACGTAAGACTCACGAGTATTGATACAATATTGTACTTAAATATTGTAAAACGTAGATATTGTAAAACGATGTTATAGATAAAATCTAAAAGGTTATTAGAATAATTAACTTAGCAGTTCAAAACAAGTCATTATCGCAAAAAGACCACTCACTAATGCAGAGAATGTGATAATCAAACAGCTAAAATAAAATAATACTCATAAATGCAGAGAAATGGTATTTTAAATTGAGATTTAACATAAATTTTTTTGATATGAGAGAATTTTAATAAATGAGCAATACCACAAATAACTATTGTTGCTAACTTGACAAATCAATGTGAATTCTATTAGATAAAGGAGCCCACATATTATTGTTAGGTAAAAGGATGGCATAAAACTTAAAAATTAATAAAATTCAACCCCCTGAAATATACGGCATAGTAGAGATTGGAGAGAGAATAGTACCTACTATAGGAAAAGTAGAGATTAAATTTAAAACCGCTGCTTCCGAGAAGAAAAAAGCACAAAACTCCCGCTTTATCTGATTTCAAAAAAAAACACAATTAATTAATAATGCAGGACAAAAAGAAATCTTACTATGGAAGAGCGAGAAAAATTAGAAATAGAACATGAAAAAAGGCGAGTGTAGTAAAAAAAAATGAAAATGACAATTTTTACATTATAAATTGCTCCGACAATTTAAACAAACATTGAAATTCCGGCTATTGACGACCTTACCAAGTATCGGAAAAATATCAAGCAGAATTAAATAAACATTTGAAAATGTTAAAAATAGGAGTAATTAAAAAAAATATGAGATAAGAGAAGCAAATAAAATAGAACTAAAAGAATATATGTAGGTCTTCACCCATCCCTAAAAAAATAGGAGATTCACCGGCAAATCGAATGTTTAAAAGGGAAATGAATACCTAAATTGATAAGCTGAAACACCGGCAGGGAAAAAAATCAAATACCGTCAGAAAATAAACATTAGTCTCGCCGAGAAAAACACTAATTTGTTTTAAAATAATGAAATGCCCGAAGAAATTGTTAGTAAAATAATTCACCGGGACTTGATAAAAGCCGTCAATTTTCAACAAGTCACACGCAAAAGTCGCACATGGAGTAATATTTTTTAGAAAATTTGTTGAGAAAACCAAAAGTAAGATTTAATAAAATAACATGTAGTACATAATCCCAAAACCGAGAAAAAAGTAGAGAAAAATCCCCTGTCTTAAATTGGGAGAATCGACCGAAACATCAGAAGAAGATAACTTCCTACAACGATAAAAACATAGGCCTCTGCAGCAAAATCAACTCAGGAAGGATGAAGAAATGTTCAAAAAATCAACTAAATGGAAACAAAAAGTCTGCTCTGCAACTTGAAAACAAAAAAGGAACTCAACTAAAATCGCTGCTCTTCTACAAAGTGTTTGACTGGATTGTAATAAAACCCCTTTTAACATTTATTGCTAACTATCCAAATTTCACCTCACTTTGTTTTCCGTCTATTTACCAAAAATTTTTCTGTACTCATGTAAAACAACCCATAACCCTTTCTTTTTCAACGTAATATCCCTATAATTAATTTTTCGGAGAATTTGGCAAAAAAAAAAGCTGAAAAAAAAAAGAAACATTAAAGAAGAAAACTAAAGAATAATTCAAAGCGAATTATAGCTTTTACAATAATTAATAAAAGTATACTAGTAATTTGAAAGCCGTCGCCAAGACGAGAGACAATCAAAATAAAAATTAAAATTTTAAAGATAAAGCTTGGTCGGAGTAAAATTGTAAGGAAGTATTAAAAAAAAAACCGTCGTTCGGAATTGTACGATGAGGAAATTAAATTCTTAAATCTTGTAGAATATTAAAAAAAATATATATTACATTAATAAAATAGCCTAAATTACCCTCATTTTAAAAAAAAAAATTAAACTACAATTTTGAACGTGGACGTTCAAATAAAGGGGGAAGGAATGCTGCATCCCTCCTAATCAAATAAACAAACTAAAAATAAATGATGTATTCACGTGCATTCACAGGCACAAATATTTTGACCTTTTCCTATATTAAAAGGAATCCCGACCGTTATCAGAGTTTATCACAATTCCCGACCCTTATATTATTATTTGTTATTCACTTGTTTACCCCAATCTTGACCTGTTAATGTCCCCTATAAATACTCATCCAAAATGGTCATTCATCTTATCTTAATATCTAATTAGAAGTGTTTATGTGAGTTCTGGCCAGACTCTTGTAATTGTCCCCTTTCCCTCTTTTCGCTATGTATATATTTTTATTTGTAAATAGTTAAATGTAAATAAATAATTTAAAGAATATAATTTGAATAATCCTCGAAAGGCTTCGGAACCCAATCCCAACAATATCATCGATATATTTTCCTTTTACGACTAAAATCCCATCCAAAGATGGATAAAAATGAACAAAAAATAAACCTATGTAACCTTCATGAAACGAACCTTCATGAAACGAATTTGTTCATCTCTCGTCTCTCTCATTGACCTATCACCTGAGATCAGTCCGAACCTAGAATTTTCGATATCCGAACGTTTTTCGTGATTAGGATATCGAGATCCGCCTCCCCTACTCGGGATGGAATTATAACGAGAGTGAACTGCATATTTCGTAAACTCACTTTAAGGATTCGCTTAAGTGTGTTTGACTCCATCTAATTTCTAAAAAATTCACCAAATTGTAAAATTAAAAAATCTAAAAATTGATTGAATAAAAATAAAAAGTTGAACTATAAAATAGCTATCTGAATACAACCATTCTTAAATAAATGAAAAAAATTACCAGCTAAACATCTTCCTTTTCAATAAAAAAATATGTTTAAAGTAGTAGTAAAAAAATGATCAAAATACATATGTAAATTAGATATTTCTTTCTCCCAATTTACAAAAAAAAAATTTAAAAATAAAAAGGGGTGTTAATTTACCCATTATCACACAAAAGATTTGAATTTTTTATTTAATTTTTTTTGTATTTTTGCTTGTAAAATAATAATAAAGCCACTAATTTTTTATACCCCTAGCATGATCCGTGGCGCGACATTTGGGATCAGACTTTCGAGGACCCGAGGGTTGCGATTATTTAGGAGACAATATTTGGGGTCGAAATGGAATTAAAAAAACTGGGCAATTAAAAAAGTTTTTGAAGAAACTTCTTTTTCGCTAGAAAAACGTTTTTATGTTCAAGGCTGAAAATTGGAAGAAAAGGTTTATGTTACCGGTGCAGAACAAAAATATCGGTTATCAACATAGTACGCATTCCTATTAAAAACTCACGATCTATACGTTTTTTAATTTGATGGGTAGAGCTGCCTAAACATTATTGCCGATTTAAGACTTTCATTATAGGTACAATCTGGATAGTCGGCATAAAATGCCTTCATTAATTTTTAACCTTATTTCGTCTTCTAATCACTTTGAAGAATTTGCAATTAGAAGTAAACAAAAATATTTTTTACCCGAAGAAAAAGAAATTTTACATTATTAGCTAACTATTGGCCAAGAATTCAACTTGAATTGGAATTAGAAAATAAACAAAAATACCGTATACTCCCTCTAGGGGGTCGGTTTATTAGAAGGGGTCGGTCTAGTAGGAAGAGTCGCACTATTAGGAAAAATACGATAATTTCTAATTCAGACATTATTCTTAAAATTTGTTTAAAAAATATTTTCGTATTTTTATTAAAGTCAATCTATAATCTCTTGGCAGATTTATTATTTATATGGCTGTATATTTTAAGTTATTTCTAAATTTCTAGTTAAACACCGGCTGTAATAGTTAAGTTTGTGTTTCCCCTTTTTTCTTTTGGCTGTAATGTAGTGTACCGAGGTAAAAGTTTGGGACGTGGCATGTCATTCGATTCGTCTCGATGAGCTGAGTCGAACGGTACCAATCCCAATTTCAGAAAATGATTCTGGATCCAGTTATATTATACCAAAATCGACCTTACTCCCTCATGGTTTTTCAATATTTCGGGACCTATAACTCGGTCCAGAATAATTTCCCAAATTGTGAGCAGTACCGTTCGACTCAGCTCGTCGAGACCAATCTAATGACATGTGTCACGTCCCGAACTTTTACCTCGGTACACTACACTACAGCTGAAAGTAAAAAAAGGGGAAACACAAACTTAATTATTGCCCACCGGCTTTATTCTTAGGAAATTTTAAAATAATGTTTTTAATGTTAAAAAAAATTTCCAAAAATATTTCTTGAAAAAATATTTAAAAAAAATTTTGCTACTCGTAAACAGTCTCAAAATTATTAACATGAGGATAATTGGACTTAACTGGAAAAAAAAGATTCTTATCCTATAAAATCTAGCTAATCATTAGAAAAATTACACAAAAAACAGTTTTATTTTTTCAGAATCAATTAAAATTAACTTGTGTTTAAATATAAAATTAAATAGCTTTTAGAGCAACAAAAATTTAAATTTAATTCAAGAACCAAATCGATTTGATTCATTAATTAGCCAAATCTCATTCAAAATTTAAAAGAGTTTCAACAAAATTGGTATCCAATTTGTAAACAAACGCCTTCTCCCCAAAATTAGTTTTAACGTCAGCATTCCCCTCAGACAACGTAAATGTTGGAGTTAATTCTTCACTTTCCTCTTCGAAACTAATTGCTCTTCCTAAAAATCATTAAGATATTATATGCATGGACCGGCATCCATTTTATTCTTAAATCTTCGGATTTACTTGGAATGTCAATTTTTCACTGGTATTTGATTTTTCCGTAAGGTGTTAATTTAGGGTGTTTTCTGTAAGGTGTTAATGTTATTTGATGTCTTGAGAGTCCCAGCAAAATCAAAAAATGCCTGGGATTCTTCTGTACTCTTGGCACAGAAAAAACCCAAGCCTTGGTCCAGATCCAGGCCGATCTCTAATACCTTCGGCTCGCTCCTTAGGCCTCAACAATCCCTAAAGTCTACCCTTACGGAAAATCATACTAAAATAAAATAGGAAAATTAACTGTTTTTTCCCATCCTAAAAAGTGAAAAAAAATTGGATGACAGTATTCCTTCCAGATAGTGCCAATATTTATATAATAGTAATTTTAAAAAATACCAATAAAATGTCCATTCACGGTAAAAAAAACAAAAGTCTTCGGTTTGTCAAATAAATCATTTTTTGGAGAAGTTACCATACCACAACCAGCAGTAAACAGATTGGACGGAGCAAAAGGATAAGTAAATTCTTCCTCCTCAGTATTTTTAATTTTAACTTCATTTTCGTTTGATTTGAACATATGAACTCCATTGAAGTCATCATTAATAATTCCAATAGATTTAAGCCTAAAATTATATTTAAAGTAATTTTTAAATAACTAGAGTGGGCCGAGGTCGGGATTTTCACAAAAAATCGGGAACTTTGGAATACTGATCCTTGTTTTTCGGTGTCAGGATCAGAAGAATCGGGATTCAAAAAACCCAGGATAATTGCGCCCGATCCCGGCCAACTCTATAAATAACAATGTTGTAAACAAATTGCTAGTTTAGTATGCCCGTTGAAAAAAAAATTAAAATTGTGGACAAAATTGTTTTTTGCGAACAAATCCAGTTTAAATTTTTATAAAAAATCAACTATTCAATTCCGCAAAAAGTGCGGAATTTTCCACAATAATCCTTATAGATATGATAAATAAATTTAAACAAACTTGCTAATATCCTGCAACGTCACTTCGAAATATTGAACTCCAAAATAATTATTAGTAATTTTTTTGAATGGTTGACCAGCATAATAAAGAGCTTGATTAAATTCAGCATTGAAAAACGAGTTTTCATTGCAAACAAATTTCTGAAACGGAAAAACGGGTCAATGTTAAGAAAAATTATTTTTCATTACTAGATATCTAATAAGTTGTTTTATGGTTAAATGGGACTGTAAGGATGGGAAATTTTTTTTTATTTTGGCAAAAAAACCAAAAGAAAATGTTCGGTGAGACTATAAGAATTTTTTAATAACTGGACATCTGATATCTTCCTACGAACAGAATTAATGCGCTGAGTTTATAAATTTCAATAATGTGTGCAAAATTTTCCTGAGACAACACTACGGCCATGCCTGGTGTGGGTGGGTGTGGGGCAGGGGTGTGCCGAAACGGATTTTAAAAAGCGAAACGGATTTTAAAAAGATGGATTTTAAAAAGAAAAAGATTAAAAGCGAAACGGATTTTAAAAAGATTATTTGTAAATATGTATATGTATAAGGGATTTAATTTTTTCCTAACTAAATTTAAAAAAATGTACAAAATACGCACACAATCTGAGAATAGGCTAAGAACCTGATTTTACACCTTGAAGACGAAAGTTTTTTTTTGCAAAAATACTTAACTTGGTTGTTTAAGGGAAGGTGGGGCTGAAAATATTTAAAGTTGGAGCTTTATTTTTAGAAAATATGGAATTCTTAGAATATTTATGCATATGTCGAAATTTAAAACTCATGTCCGTAATACGCGTCCAATAAAATGTTTAACGTCCAAACATTTTTTGCGTCCAATCACATTCTCCTACGTCCAATCTACAACGATAATAAC